CTCTCTCTCTCTCTCTCTCTCTCTCTCTCTCTCTCTCTCTCTCTCTCTCTCTCTCTCTCTCTCTCTCTCTCTCTCCACATACCAAATGCTAATAGCTTGTCTGTTCACTTCTCTTTAATTCCCGAAGGAAGGAGTGAGCATCTCCTGGAGGACCTTAAGACGAGACGCATTCCACGTCTCAGTATGGACGGCAACCAAACCATCATTGTTGATTGTGTACCGAATAACACCATTCACTGGTGACATACGTGGCCTCCATGGGAGCTGCATCACTCCTCCCAACACCCATGATGCATCAATTGTGTTCGCTCCGCTCACTGCGATTGACTTGAACTCAAAGATAGATTCTGCTGGGTCAAACTGCTGTTTCACCGTTTCTGCGTAACGATCGACGCCTACGATAACATTTGTTGGATCCTCGAAACGACAGTCATCTGCATAAATGTCTTTTGTCAAATCTCCGGTTAATAAGTACCTTCCCTCTTTCATATCGTGCTCAATGATCGATTTGATCTCCTCGAGAGGCAGATGTGTCCGCTTTCCACTGGCTGATGGCGTCTCCAAGGGTGTGGCCAGAGCTGTGCCGGTGGTCATCGCATCCAAAGTCGCACCGAGGACAACTCCAAGACCGCCGGAAACCGCCATCGCCATCAAACTGCGTCGATCGAAGCTCGTCGTGGCCTGCTCTTCTCTCTTCCCCTCCTTCAAGACCACCAAGTCATCTTCAGCTAGCCCATGGGAAGGCAGAACACACTCGTCGATGATGCTCCTCCTCTTTTCATCCCTCCTGAGTGTGCTCTCGTCCTCTTCCAAACAGTCAGTCTTCTGGCATATCGCCCCTGTTGCTCCAACTGGTAACTGGTGTTGTAAAGAGCTTGGGCAAGATCCTGCTCCAAACACCCACAAAAAAAACCCTTAAGAAAAGCGTATTTTCAGCAGGTGCTGCTCCCTGCCAGTAGAATGGAGCCAGGACTCAGGAGTCTAAATAAATAAATAAATAAATAAATAAATAAATAAATAAATAAATAAACAAATAAATAATTGTGCACTATGGTATTACATCATATAGAATCACTTCAGGCATATGCGTACATACAGAGGACGACAGGTTCGGTGTATGATTATAATTTTGAATGGTCTGTCGACCGCAGCGCCTGTACTGATAACGGTGGACTTGACCGGTCCAAGGTTGTAGTCCTGGTCCTGATCCCAGTCCCAGGTGCAAGTCCCACGTCCACCCTGGTAATGGTAGGTCCAGCTCGATTCCCCAGACAGAGTCTCGGCCAGGTCTGGGGCAAAGCAATGGTCCGGAAGTCGTTGCCTGGAGAACAACGGGAGAGGATCAATCGCCCGGGGGGAAGGGAGGGGGAGAAATGTTTGGGAGAAGCAGAGTACACCGTGCTAGGTACCATAGAAACTTCACGCAGAACGCAGAGGCTCTGACGATTTTCACAGACTGCGCAGAAAGTACCGCAGACTGTGAAGCTTTGTAAGTTGCACCCTTTTTTTTTTTTTCTTTTTTTTTTTTTGGGGGGGGGGAACATCTCGGGCTGCATCTCCTCTTTTCAGGGGGTGGTGAGAGAACCACCTGGATTGAGGGTTGCGGTATAGATGGCTCCAGTCTATTGGGCCAAAGCCGCCAAACTTTGAGCAGAACTTGCATCAAATTGCAGGAATTGCAAAACTTACAGAACTAATGACACTTGCATAATGTTGCGAGTGCTTCCTTTTTTTTTTTTTTTTTTTTTCTCTCTCGAAACAGTACAGGTACTACAGGGACATAGGTCTTGGTATCATGATATCCATTTCAAACCTCCATTGGATCATTTTGATTCCATCAGGATTTGAACACACGATCTGTTCGCTAGCATTTACATGTGTATCACGACCGTCTTCACCCGAATAAAACGCCCGGTCATTGTCGCTGCATCCGGTCTGAAAGTTTGGCCCAAATATAGGCATAATGGCCGGGCGTTCTATTCGGGTGAAGACAGTAGGCCACAGGCGCTTAATACTTCACACTGTTTTTGCAGTGCTTTACAAAACATTCGACAGGCCAAAACTTCGCAAAGCACTCAAGACTGTGTTGAAAGATAGTTTAAAAAATTTAAATGCTACCAATTTTCAAAACCCAAGACAGTTTTTAAGATAACGGATCATTTTCAAAAGCCAAGACCTTTGTAGAACTTGCAGTACTGCACAACCTTGAAAAATGTCCAGAGACTTAAAAATAATAATAAAAAAATGCAGAACGATGCTGGCCGGAGCTGGGGCGCTGCCCTGTAACCTGCAAATGGCAGGAGCGGGGGAGGAAGACAATCCAGTGGCGAACTGGGGGGGGCTGCTAAGTGGCGAGAAGAGATCAGCTATGGGGGATGTAGGTTAGGTTGGTTTTGTCTCTGAGTTACAATGTCCTGGTACAGGGAAGACTAAGGGTTGGTATAGGATTAGGAGGCCAGAATTGCTGATATAGCACATGCTTTTATAATCTTTATAGATACTAATCATCATCATCATTAGCATCATCCAGGATCATCATCATCACCACATGCGGGACGCTGAGCCCGGTTCTCAGCAAGTTTGGTTCGGTTACTCCGGGCAGACTGTGAGGACCCCGGCCTCAACCCACAATCTTCTTATTGGTAATATCAGCCTTGGGCATTGGGCCCTTTTAAAAAAAAAAAAAGAAAAAAAAAAAAAAGTTGCATTTCCTAAAACATTGCAGGCTAAATGCAGAGCAGTTCAAAAAATATCGACCATGAAAGGTCAAAATCCGAAAGCTCGATTGCAAGACTGACTTCAAGGTGCCCTTACAATTGCCATGAATTGTCATGTCCTACCGAATACTGCAGATGCCTCTCCGTCCCTCCCTCCTTCCCACCTACCTGGCCTCCATCCCACCTGCTGTTCTAACCTTATGCCCTGGTGCCCTCCCTCCATCTCTTCCTCCTCTCTCACACAAACTCTTATTGCATGCAAATGTCCTCACGCACAGGCCTGATAACTGAGGCATGCAATGGCATTGGAAACTATGGAGACCCCCTTCCTCCCCGTCCTCCTCCTCCTCCTCGTTGGGGCCGGCAGAGTCATTGTTGCGGTAGATGGTGCCATTGCTATAAGGCATAGCGGCCTCCCAACGACACGCGAAGAATACAATCAATATGTCTCGTCTCTGTCATGCTCACCTCGAGGTCCCTGCCTGTGGTCCTGTGGAACACTCAAGGGTGATGATGGGCATTGGATTCCGGCCACAAACCAGTCCATTCAGTATGGAGATGGATAAAGGCAGGGTATAGTGATTCTTGGTCTTTCCTGAGAGTACCTGGCACTTTTTTCTGGCCACATTCAGGGTCTGGCCATAACTATATGATGCTGTTTCAAAGAAAGCACGGACTTCAAAATACTCATGACAAGGTTCATACTTTCTATGGCATGCATACCCGGGCCCAGGGGGCCGGGGGGGCAACTTGGTCCGCCCTAGGGCCATTCTACAATGTAATCTCACATATCATCCAATAATCAAAACTAGAATAAATTGAATATTATGAATAGGAAAATCTACTTCAATTTAGTCAAAAAGCAAATTCATTCAATCTAATAGAAAATCACAGTATCAAGACCTACATTTCTGGTGTCCCTAAGGGCAATGATGCTTTTTCTGGGCCTAGGTTAATTTTGTTTCCAGGCAGAGGGGTTATTTGTATCTGTTCTGTATTCGAGGTATGGGTGCTACTGCACTGCTACCTTGTTTCTCATATTCTTGTCTCTTCTGGTCTGGGTAGCACCATCTACACGTATGCGGTGCGTACGCGTACGTATGCGGGCATCCGTCTTTTTTTATATAGCTGCAACGAGCCTCTTAGTTCAACACCAGTAAGCGCACACAATCACACCACATGCATGTATGAGATCACACGAAGTTCACACTGGAGGCCAGAGAGATGAAGACCAGGTAGCGCAGCTTTAGTATTCCAAGTTCCAACAGATTATCATATAAACAATTAAGAGTTTCGGTCACAGGCGCTCGACAGCGCAACCCCAAGTATCCAGAATCTCCACTCAGGTATGTAACTTTCCCGAAGCTCTTCTCTCTTCTTCCTTTCTTGGTCTTCTCTCTGTCTTCTACCTCCTTGTATCTCCCTATCTGCATGCACTCACACTCTCTCTACCACTCAAGGACCAACTCTGAATACACCCACTGTCAACTCTACTAACCCCTTTGAAGACTACTATTAACTACTAGCACTAACACCCTGCACTGGCGCAGCTATGGCTGCCTTCTCCCTGCCAGCGCTGTCTCTCTCTCTCTCTCTCTCTCTCTCTCTCTCTCTCTCTCTCTCTCTCTCTCTCTCTCTCTCTCTCTCTCTC